ATTAATTGAAATTAATATCACATAAACTATTACAAAATTAATCTATACATATAATAAAATTGTAACAGGCCCATGTCTGTACATTATAGATATTAAAGAAAAATTTATGTAGGAGGTCTTTATTAGAGCCCCAGAAACCAAATCAACCTTTTTTAGAATTTTCGTCTGTCTGTCTGTATGTTTGCACGCGCATCACTCGAAAACTTACGCATGGAATTGAATGCAGTCTTCACCGGTGTATTGCTAGAGGTTTGACTTAAAATATAGAAAGAAAAAAATTAGAGAGCTGCCACCTGAAAATTTTAGATTAAGTAAATTGATAAGAAAATGCTTAAATTACAATATGGGCGTCAAAAGAAAGGGGTTTAAGAAGAGTTACGGGCGAAAATATTTCTTGAGGGTTGCCACCTGTTTGAAAATTTTAGTTTGATTTAATTTATAAGATAAATTGAATATTGCAATATGGGTATCAAACTGGAAACATTTGGGAAAGGTTACTGCCAAAAATAATTTTGAGGAGGGTAGCCACCTGTTTGAAAATTTTGATTGAATTAAATTGATAAAATAATTGATATCTGACTTATAATATTTAAAATTGTAATAGGCCGATGTCTGTACATTATAGAAACTAAAGAAAAATTAATAAGGGTGGTCTTTATCAGAGCAACAGAAGCCAAATCAACAATTTTTAGAATTTGTGTCTGTCTGTCGGTCTGTCGGTATGTTTGTATGCGAATTTCTCCGATGTACTGCTAGATGTCTAACTTACAATATAGAAATAAAAAATTAGAGAGTGGCCATTTGTTTGAAAATTTCAGTTTATTGCAGTATGTCTGTCAAAAGAAAGAGGTCTACAAAGGCTTACAACTAAAAATATTTTTGTGGCAGGTTGCCACCTGTTTGATAACTTTTATTCAATTTAATTGATAACATGAATTATATATTGGCATCAAACTAAAGATTTGATTTGAGAACTTGTATTGCCGAAAATAGTTCTAAATTTTTTTATTTAATCAAATTGGTAAAATAAATGAAATACTACAATACGGATATTAAACTAAAGAAAGCTTGCTTTCGAAAATATTTTTGAAGCGGGTTGCCACCTATTTGAAATATTTAATTCAGTTAAATTGATAAGATAAGCTAAATGTTGCCATATGGGTATCAAACGAAAGTATTTGAGAATAATAAAATTTTAACAGGCCGATATCTGTACATAATAGGTATTAAAGAATATGGGGCTTACTAGCCCGACGGAAACCAAATAAACATAGAATATAATTTTGGTCTGTCTGAATGTGTGTAATCGCATCACGCAAAATCTAATGTATGGAATTAAATACGGTTTTCACTGATGTACATATTGCTAGAGGTCTAACTGAAAATATAGAATCAATATTTTTTCAGTTTATCATCGATCTTTATTCTTAGGTATTTGAATGTATTAACTTTTCACAGTGCTTCGTTGTTTATATTTAGAGTTACAACAAAAAACTTAGTTTTATTGACATCTAATTTAAGTTGGGTTGCTCACACTTGTTTGCTTATCAGGGTATCTGGTTAAAAATTATTATTCTGTAGTGTATGTTATTGTTGTAAACTGTATAAAAAACATAACAACATAGCCAGATAACCTGATAACCAGGCAAGCGTGAACAACCCAAGTGTATTCAATCAGAACCGATCGCCCTTCTTTGGAACTTCTCTGTGGAAGGTTTTTCGCTTTGTTGTTGCTGCCAAAAAATTAAATCTGAGACGCCACGGTTTTACAATTTCATATAATTTTCTGCACCAATTTGGTTCGTATATGGAACATATGCCAGCACCTTAAAAAGTAAATATTCCGACCACAAATTTACTCGGTAGGTGGCGCTGGGGTAGGCATATTCCTAAAATTCTTATACAGACTAAAACGTAAAAAATCAATATATCTCTAAAACCAATTATGCTGGGGAACTGAAACTTAATACGCACGAATGCATAAATTACAAATACTCTATTTATGGCGAAAACTGGTATGCTTTGAAAAGGCGGTGTGGCACCTCCCATATAAACTGAACTTCTCACATAGCTTACCGCTTACGCTAACGTCATGAAATTCGACACAGCCACATATATTATCAAAACATTAGTTATGGCGAAAGAAAGCAGGTATTGGAAAAGGAGGCTTGTCGCTTATCTCAGGAACCGATTATGCTAACGTCCCGAAATTTAACACAGCTATGTACATATGTTATCAATACTGTACTTATGGCGAAAAGTGGTAGTTATTGGAAAGGCTGCATCTATATACATTTACGTAAACGGACAAGTACCATTCGATTGGGAACCATTTTCCCCTATATTTCTATTTTACAGACTGTTTTTTTGTTTTTTTGGCCAACGAAAAAGTTGTTATTAGGCGCCGCGAAGCAAGCGTGAATTGGCTAGTATAAAATATAGGTAAAGACTTAAACTAATGTTGATGGTCACTCTAGTTAATAAGAGAAATGAGAATATATGATTTTTTAAAGTTACTTTTGTTTAAACTGGCTCTTGTTATGAACGGAATAGAATTCCAAGATCTAATAGCACTAATGAAAAAGAGTCTAGTCGATGTTATAAAGTTATAGTTGGATACAATAAGCACGGTTGCCACTTTGGTACAATTGTACCAAATATGGGCATTTTTTCTTAGTTTGGGCCTTTGTGCCTTTTTTGTTTGTTTCGGTTCTTTTTGAAGCAACTACGGCTATTCGTTTCTTTGGCGTTGGCGAGAGCTATCCGTCTGTTTGAAATATGCAGCATTCGCATACAGCATAATCAAAATCTATTTTTATATGGAGGAAAACGCGCAATACCCTCCGCATAACGCATAATCAAATTCTATTTTTATATGGAAGAAAACGCGCAACACCCTCCATATACCGCATAATCAAAATCTATTTTTATATTAACTCAACGATAATTTTTAGCGACTTGAAACTGGCACTGAATGCGAATCCGAGGTCTGAAAAAAATGTATTCAATAAAATTAAAAATGCATATATGTATGTACATAGGTTTTTGTTGGCGCTGAATGCGAATATGGGGCTCTCTTGACTCTTCAAAGTTATCTAGGGGTCATGCCAAGGTCATCTTAAGGTCAAATTCAGAAGAATTGTATTGAATTTTCAGCTTTTTCAACGAATTTTTCCCTACTTGACCTTTAAATGACCTCGTACCTGGCGTGATGGAGACTAACAGCCCCGGGAATCGTATTCAGAGCGTCGAATGCCATAGGGATAGAAAGGTTTGGTTTAATATGCAGAAACTTTTCCTTTTGTAAACCTGTGTAATTAATGAACAAAATTGTTCATGAAAATAATTGTAAATATTATATTAGAACAAGGTGTACACTAACATTTGACACTGCCTGTATATGCACAAATGCAAACGACTATGTAGAGAAATTTTTTTTTTTTATACTAATTGAAAATATTATAATATAATTATAAAAAATATATATATTTTTTTTAAATATAAAATTTTGATGAAGTGGCAACCGTGACAATAAGTTCCTTTGAGCGCTCAGACTTCGGGAATATTAACTTCTCATAGAGGGAGAAGGGCGTCTTTGTAGAGATAAGCCGGAACAGAAAAGAAAGCTTCTTGCCTTTAAGTAGTCCTGAATTTCACATCCCAACCGCCTTGCCCCCCAATGCGATATGTGATCAAACTTTTTTAAGTCGTACACATACCGAGTTACATGATTAAATATAACACTTATCTTATGAGCCGATAGAGAGTCCAGCTTATTATAAACCAGCTCGGAGTAGGTAAAATAGGTACTATTAGTTGAATTGCTAACTGCCTACTGCAGTAAATTCCGGAGTTTGACGTAAGTTTCTTAGCGCGCCATAAGCTTTGGAAACAATAGAATTTATATTATCCTTGCAACTTAAGCTCGAATTAGTGACAAATCTTAGGTTTGTTATTTTATTCACATATTCTAAAGGTTTATTTTCAATTTTTAACTTAGAGGAATGCATTTTTCCGGTTAACAAAACTGATATGCATAATGTGCCCATTATTATTTCATTGGAATTTTTTGATAACTTCACTACTAGGAAAATAACGTCTGGTTCCTTTAATTTCCTCGATGCTCACTTTCAGAATTTTGATCTTGCTTTGTTTGAAATCAACTGGTGTTATATTTTTGTTTCTAAAAGTCCGATTATGCATACTTCTCATAACTTCGCACAACCATTTATACCAGTGCAATAAAAATTTAACTTAAGAAAATGTGAAGCATAATCTAAACTCAACAGATCGCTAAGTTTTTAAAAGCTCTGCTAATTTATGGGTAACGGAATACATACAAAATACATGCAAAATTACAGTTTGAAGTTTATCCGAAGTTATGCGAAGTATGCATAATCAGACCATAATGTTGTCTCAGAGCGTTTTGATACCTTCGTGTGCATGCTGAGTAATCTTTTTTCCAAATATCTTTCGCTCCCGCCGCCTAGAGTTCCTAGATTTTTCTGTAATACAAGTAAACTTAAGAATCTAAAAATAAAAGAGATAAGTATTATAAATTACATAAAAATCAGCTTTGTGATGTTACTCTCAAGGTTAAATATTAGGCTGGGTCGATTTTGTATGGGGGAAAATAAAGGTAATCTTATTGTGTTTTAATAGTAGCATTATATTGTTTAGGACGCGCAATTGATGAGTTGGATGCAATTTTTGAAAAAGTAAATATGGTTCCTAATATCTAGGGAATACGCTAACCGATTTACGCAAAAGATATATCAGATTATAGTGCTTTGCCATAAGATTTCGGGTTGCCGATAT